CATTACTGCTCCAACAAACAGTGAGAAGTGTGTGTCTAGTAGAGTATCTTTTAGTAAAGATGTATTCATTTGAGTTGAGTTAGTCTAAAGAAAAGATTCTTATATTCATTTGGGTTGTATTGAGTTGGTATTTGGTTGGTATTTAGTTGCTAATTGGCATGTCTACTGCAGTTATGTACTAATGTCTACTAATATCTACCTACTCACTCATCTAAGCACTCAACTATCTCCTATCCCTTCCAAACCATTACCAACTCAACCCAACTCAACCTAATCTAAAACTTAACTTAATCAATGAATTAGAAGCAAAATAAAATACAATACTATGTCTGTTCTTTTTTGATTTAGCACACTTTGACTTTGCTTTTATTTTGCCTCTGGCTATCTACTACTATTTACTTTAGTATTAGTTTGGGTTTCTGCAATAACTTAGCAGAGATAAGATAAGTTACTTACTTGTTATACTCATAAACCAGCAGTAAATAACCACCCAATAAGACCATAATCCCAACTCAACTTAATACCAACAATAGCTAACTAGTAGATAAGCAACCAGTCCAGATACTAACCCAATACATAATTGTTGTTTTATGGCTTTTGCGGTCTCTTGTGTTAGTATTGGGTTGAGTTTGGTTGGGTTAGGTTGAGTTAGTGTGGTGTCCGTGCCATCCCCCACACATCTTTAATGAGGCTCTCGAGATATCTCTACTTTTAGACGAGTTAACTACAGGGGCAAAGAACTTAGATATTTATTCCATACTACTTTAGATAAGCTAAGATATTCCAAAAGAAATCTCAATCTTGTTATCACTTGTTTCAGAGTATAAATATACGACGAAGATTGATAAAGGACTTTCTAAGACTTCTTAAGACTTCCAGGAGACACATGAAGGATTCGCACAGAACTATATCAGACTTAGAAACGACTCAGACTCGCACCCCAAAACCTCAACTCGAACCTCTAATCAATAAAACCGACATCAGCCTGAATGATGATTTGTCTCTCGTTGAGTATATTTGGATGAGAGGTCATTATCCTCCCCTGGGGCACAACAGTTAGGTTAGGTTGAGTTGGGTTAGGGCCTCTAGGTTTCGGCGGAGTGCTTGTTGTGCCGGCTGGTGAGGACTTCCCGTCTTCTTTCTCCTGATCTGAGTTGAGTTAGGATTGATTGTTGTGAAGTTGTGAAATTGTAATATCATATTAAACTGTGATTTATTGAGCTAGGGGTTTAGTATTGAGTTGGGTTGGGTTGGGTTGGGTTTGGTTTTAGCAGTCGAAGTAGGAGTTGAAATAGGAGTGGAAATAGAAGTACAAATGGAAGGTTTGGGTTGGGATGGGTTAGGTTGGGTTAGTGGTGACTCAACTGGTGATTCTGGTCTATCTCTAAGTCTAGAACTAGGCTTAAGTCCTCTTGCCAATCCTAACTCTTCCCCGTCCCCAACACTAAGCCCTTTTGTCACCGGTCTCCTACCACCATACAATGTATCACTCGATACACCACTTGATCCTAGTCCTAGTCCTTCTCTGCCTCCTACATAGAATAGACATCCTGGATCTGGCCTCGCTGACTTTGAAGCTATTGATACTACTCGTAAAAACAGAAGGAAAAACAGCACTACACTCAGTACACCCAAAGCCATCTCGAGTCTTTTTGCATGTCGTCCTGCCATGCCTCTTCCTATTCCAAATATCCTTAAATCCTCTTTCCTTTCACCTATTGATCACTTTGATTGTATTTCTGCTCTTAATCTACTTATCTCAACTTGTCTTGGTATTTAGCTAGTAGTTGGTTGAGTTGAGTAAAGTTGAGTTCGTCTGTGTGGGCATTAGACAGGTTATAGATCGGGCTGATCACTTCAAAAAAGTGACGCCATTTTATACCTGTACACTTTGTCTTAGCCGATAAAACGATCACTCTCTTCTCCATTTCCTCTGGAATGCCATCTACTAAGTAATTTAGCTCTATTAGATTCTCTTCCGTTAGTATTGGGTTGGGATCAACTATATCCTCTACTAACTCAATTATTAAGCTGGGTGCCTCGACAGTCCGCAGCAGAATAAGAATCAATTTGAATACCTCTTGGCCCTGCCACTTCCTTAGGAGCTTAACGCGTACGGGAATACTGCACTTAATTTTGTTTAGCAAACTAAGCTGTTCAATGTACTCCTGGCAACGATATGGAGTTATGTTCTTTTTTGTGTAGAGTACAAGATACTCTGGATTTTTAGCGGGTCTGGGAACTGTATTCTCATCTAAGTAAAGGTTCCATTTAGATAGCTTAGAGTCATATGCCCAGCGGTGGTCTTCGTGCTTCTTAATCATGTGGATTTCCTGCAGACACTTAACTAGTGGAG